TTTTTTTTGGGTTCGAGGTGAATCATCAACGTAGCTTCGGGCTCCTGTCGATTTATGTGTTTAAAAACAATAAACCATGAGTCATCGTGCCGCCACACCTCACCTAGGGTTTAAAAACCCCCTAATATTCAGCATTAACGCATAGCCTTTAGTTTATTTCTGTAAACTCGCGAGTTGTACGTGAAAAGGGAGTGAAGGTCCGTTCGGGGGAAATGTTCGGTCGACAAATCTCCTTCAGAATAAGTGGAACGATTCAAGAGTTCCTAAATCTCAATGAAAGCGAAGAGGAAACGTTTTTCTTTATCGTACGTGTGAAATGACGCTTTTCAGCTGATCCCACTGACGCGTTTCACAACAGTTTAATTTATCGAGGTCAAGAAGTGCGAGTTGGTTCACTTTTGTGCTCATCGCTAAAAAATCTGACAGGCTGAAGGAGGCGTGAGACGATCAGACCTCCGGCCGGCGTGAACTCTTCCAGCCTGAACTATGCAGCTGGAGGTTCTCGTCTCCGATGAGTTTAAATAACGTAAAGACCGCTGAGATCACGTCGGCTATAAAAGCTCCTGTGACACGCTTGACACAATCCTGAAAATGAGAAACATACACACAGCAGATGTGCACATGGGCACGTTCTTTTATTTGCGGCCTGGCGGGAGAAACTCTGGAACGCAGTGCAGATCTGGAAGCAGCGAGAAAGAATCCTTCTGTGGGAAAACACAAGTTTCCCCGCGGTTTGTAATCTGAGAGTTCTTCTTCCGCTGGGGCCGGTTTTTGTTTGTGCGTTAGAGTCGTGGTGAAAAAGTTCCCCTCTGGTTTGGAGATTTGTATTCTCAGTTAACGGTTAAATCCCCTCCATCTAGTTCAAGTTCGATTGCGATGTTTAGTCTGTCGGGTCAAAGTGAACATGGATGGGGGGGGGGGGCTCTCTAAGTGGTTTCAGATGTGCCTCTCTGCTGGAATGCACCTCTCTGCCCTGTGTTGGAGCAAACCCACAATAGTTTCATTTCTTCTTTCACTTCACTTTGAATGTCTCCGTTCAGTTGGTCGGTTTATCGAGGTTCTGCCTGTTTCAGCTCAGACGTCTTCAGAACTGGGCTGCACACAGAAACTTCTCACGCTCTCTCACACCCGTTATTTGCATCTTTCTGGAAACAGATTAGTCAGAGGCCGAGCGCCACGCTGGCGGCTTTCTCTTTGCTCGTCTAACGGCTCTTTGCCTGCCAACCCGTCATCTGATCACCGATACAAATGTTCAGTTGCACAACAGGATGAGGTTTAGTCAGTTTTGGACGATTCTGTAAACCAAGAGGAATCAAAGGCTCCAGACTTAAAGTAGCTGGAGTCTAACTGAAGTCGAGCACCGATTCAGTCAAACCGCTTCAATGCAACTTTAAATTCAATGCAATTCCTGAGGGGAAACCTTGAAACGAAATATTGTGTTAGTGTCTTCTGTGTGTGTGTGTGTGTGTGTGTGTGTGTGTGTGTGTGTGTGTGTGTGTGTGTTGATGTGCGACAGTGAGTCAGATCGTCAGGTTCTCGTGTGCAGGGATGTTGTGGTGAAATAAAGAATACAGAATCAAATCGGGGTCAAACTCGTGTTTTGTGCTTGTGGCATGTTTTAGTTGTGCGTCACCTTGTGTGTGTCTGTGAAGACGTTCTGTTGCTGTAGAAATAAATAAAAAAAAAAAAATCTTAAATAGTATTTCCACAGCTACACAATGTTTTACACATTCACATATTTTCACAGCTACATTTAAAAAAAACCCTCGATGGTTAATATTCGTACAACTTCACACAAAATATCAGTGACCCCGATGTGATTCCATGGAAATCTGAGCGCTCATCCCGCGGAGCTCATGAAACCGACCACGACCACAATATTCACACTAATGAGAAGCTGTAGGTAGAAATGTTGAGGCGTCGTTAACCTTCCGTCTACGTCTGCTCGTGTTTTCTAACGCTTGATGTTTTATTAACCTCAGACCACAGTGGCTTCTGTTTCTGTCTCAGGAGATTTTTATGCCTCGTTTTTTCATTGCGGAGTTTTATTTTGATCAAAAAAACACAAGAAGCATTTGTCGTAATTGCATTAAAATGTTCCCCCTCGGTGTCACTATGAAGGGCTCATCATCTTTATTCATAAGGTTTAATGTCTTTAATGTGTTGGGTGATTTGTCTTCATGCCTTAGCCTCAGGCCGATCTGCTGCGAGGGCGAGGATCCGGACGAGAGGTGGAACTCTTTCAGCAGTTTAAACAATGAGCGTCTCTTACAAAGGCAACAGTTGAGTTTCAATTAACCTTTTAGGACTAAACGAATCGTGGATATTAGCACTTCAGTCTTTTCTTCTTTGGTGTCGGGATCCTTTTGTGTTTACTGGTACGTGGACGTTGTTTTTACTCTTAATAGTCGTTATGCTTGAACAGTTTTGATGTTTACTGACTCGACTCCAGAAAATCCTTGTTACTGATGTTTTTCACTTTGTTTTTTGTTTCATTGTTCAACTTATTTAAATGTAAATTGTGGACTTTGTGCTTTTTATAGATGGGGGGGGGGTGGCATGTTATGTAAAATAAAAATACTTACTGACCGAGAGTGAAACTGCGTTTGTGTGTTCTTTAACTTTTGAATCAACATTAAGGTCTCACATTTATTAATTACATTTAACTTCTAGGTTTAACTTTTCCCATACAACATCCACGTTATCTTATTAATATCTCACGCCACATTTTTTAGCTTAACACGGTGAAATGATGCTTTTATTTCCCTTCGCACCATCTCAGACGAGAGCTCATCTAACGCAGATTTGAATGTTTAATGTCCACATGTTTCCAGAGGATCTGCTGCGGCCTGAGGGTGTGTGTGTGTATTTATATACTGCTCCAGAGAATGAAGGGGTCACTTAATGGTAACAGTACAACAACTTCAGGATCATCAATCTGTGGAACTGCAGTGATTGTGGATCAGTTGCAGGATGGGTGCACAGGAAGTGGCCACAGGTTGTCGCTGATTGTGGAGGTTTGAGGTCGGATCTGCAGCTCAGTCAGGTTCCACATGTTATAGATTCCATCTGTAGATAAACAGACGAACTCTCGTTCCATGATGTCACACATCGTAAGAGGAGGGGGAGGAGGAGGGGGAGGAGGGAGAGGAGGGAGACCAGAAAGTGAAAGTGAATTTCTGGATTGTGCAGCTCGACCTAACAGAGCTGGTGTCGTCTCGTCTCACACTCACACCCTCTGATCGACCAACGAGGACAGAGCTGCTGTGGCGAACACTGGCTGTGGACTGAGGAGTATAAATACTGCACGTGGAGTATACATGCTGTGGAGTATACATGCTGTGGAGTATACATACTGGAGTACATTCGGTTTGAGGAGTACATTCCGTGGTTTCCATCCAGCTGTGTCCAGGTGAGTGTTGCACAAGGGAACGGTTCTCTGCATGGAAGCGACATGTGTTTGCTACTGCATGTGGAGTATATGTACCATGCTCTGTGGAGTACAAATACTGTGTAAATACACAGTGTAAATACACAGTATTTGTGGTCGGAGGCAGCAGGTAGACACTTGTTGGCAGTTCGAACCCAGACGAGTTTTCAGGGGGTGGGAGCAGTTATGAATATATGATCATGTTTAGTTATTAATATAATGAATTGCAGGTTGTTGGATCTGTGTGTGTGTTGCTGCGTCTGTAATAACTCGACTGTCCTCTGTTCTGTCTCCTGGCAGAATGACCTCATGGAGAAGCGTGGCCCTCCTGTTTCTTATTGTAAGCTCATAACTGTCATGTGGTTAAAAAAAATACAACGTGGAATTATACTGAAAAACTTAAAGGGTTAAAATATATGAAAAAAAAAAGAATGAATATTTGGTATTTTGTTAAATGTCACATATGCCTCCAAGAGAAATAATACAAGTAGTATATGGAGAATAATTATTACTACTGTGTTTTATAATGTTGGAATTGAATTTTGCTTGAAAACTGAAATTCAAAGTGTTGATAAATCAAAAAAAAAATATGCTAGAAACTCCGTATTGTTGTTTATATCGGTGACATAAACCCTCCAAAGAAATCTCATCATGTCCTTCTTTAAGATTAAAAATGTTGAACCAAGTTTTAAAAGTGGAATTTAAATGGTTAACCTGAGTGAAACCGTCATGTGACGTACATGTCTGCAGTTCTGTGCAGCTCTTCCTTTTCAAAACAGAATTTTAAAGCTGCCGTCACATTTCTCTCTGCCAGGTGTCATTCACAAGCCTGTCGAGGCAAAACTGCGCCAACTACTTCGACATGAGCGAATGGGTTGGTGAATTTCTTTGTGCGCAGTCGTGGGTTGTTTTTGATTTTGCTTCTGATTTCACCATCATTGGTTCAACCAGCATACATTCCTCTGCTCTCTCCCAAACAATAATGTCTGTCTCCTTCTCTTATCCACCATCAAGACCGGAAAGAATCTCACTTTCACTTTCCAGCTGGCGAACACCACGAACCGTAAAGTGAGCCACTGATATTGCAATTTCATTTAGTGTCAGTGTGAATGCATATTGTTGTAATTGGGACCGGGCTGAGTTGTAAGTGAGTCCGTTCTCTCGATGCAGGACTTAATTAAATGCACGATGAAGGACGCGTGTGAAAAGACCAAGTGGGACTCTCTGTGTGCAATACAGAAGAGCTGCTTCAATGTGAGTCACACACACTTTCTGCAGTGTTTCATTCATCACATGGTTCCGTCACGCTGATCGAGATCGAGCTGATGATTGTCTGCGTGTATCTGACTTGTCTCCACCTCAGGGAGCTGCAGATGAAAACAGCTGGACATGCCGAGGCAGCACCTCTCAGAATATCTCCTTCTATCACCTCATGTGTCTGGCGGCCATTTCACTGAACGAGAATATCGTCCCCGAAGGTACGAGTCGTCCTGCTCGAATCTCACCATCCACCTTGTTATGGCCACATTTTTACACGAGTCGCTAATTGAATATTCCAAGTATATAATTATAGTCCAAGTCTCATTGTGACTCCTCCCTTTGTTACATTCTTCAAACCTGCAGTTGTTATTAAATGATCAGATTCCTAATGAGCTTTTCTTTCTTTCTTTCTTTCATTACAGGCTGTAAATACGGTGAGTGTCCTGTTTGTCCTGTTTGTCCTCACCATGTTGAAGTGTGTGTAGGAGGTCGGTCGTTACTTAACTTGTCAGGTCGAGTTTTTCCACATCCACAATAGGACGTCTTCGTTTGCGTTTCAGCCTGAGAAACTGAGATGTTTGGAATTTTGATCTCCTGCTGAGGAATTATACAATAACACAGCACGATCGGATCAACGCTCAACCGAGTTACTGGTCGAGAAGCAAAATTACACAGAGTATATCGAAAACACAGAGTTAGTATGGTTCTTAAAGCCACAGTCGACTCGAGAGTCTGACAAATGTCTCAGGAGACAATAGTTTGGAACGAACAGCCGTCCTCAGTCACATCGATCGGTGATCACACGTCCCGCTGATGGAGGAGGAGGTGGACACTGATCTGTCGTTCCTCAGAGTTCGGACCAGCGCACAAACATTTCCTTGGTTTTACAAACGTTACGCTGATTCAGGCCATTTTAACTGAACTCACTGAGCGAATTCAAACCGTTCCATTTCCATTGCAACGCTCAGTAACTGAAACCCGGCAGCGTGGTTCGTCACCTCCACTCACCTGATGTCATTCTCTTCTGTTTAGAAAACGTGTGCGGCCTCTGTCAGCAAATATCTTCTGGTGAGTGACACGTTTCTGTTTGTTTGAGAAGGTAAATGCTTCACCCGCATGGGAAATTGATGCCATATAAAAGTTAAGGCCGATTAACTTTAATCATTAACTTTTAAAGATGCAGCAGTTTGTGTTTGACTCTTCTCCTGTGTCCGCATGTTGTTAATCCTACTAATTCCACTGGAGGCAGAAGGAATCACCAGCTCACCTCACACACGAATCAGATCTTGCTTTTCATTTCTCCCGTTCGCATTTTACTTCTAAAGCCTGCAAAGATTTTATCACTGATGGACGTTCCTGCAATTTTAGATCGAATTCCAACAACAGCACCAATCACAGTGTTGCCCACAACACTTAACACAACAGCGGCGCGGCCACCGCCGACACCAGGAACCACCACAGTCACAGGAGGAAAGGGTAAGCTGCATTTCATTCATATCACTGTGGACACGATCTCCTCGTAGGACGGATCGCGTGTCCGTCACGTCCTGTGACACAGTTACATGAAAACACACACACACACACACACACACACACAGGGCTGTACATTATGTGCATGAAGCTGGGACTGTCTGATTTCATGAGGTCGCTGCATGAGCCCTGTGTGTAGCTGCTGCAAAATCGAATCCCTAATCACTATTTACAGTTTCCTCGTCACTTGTCGGGACTTTATTCTGCTTGATGGTAATTTCTTCTACTGACACAGATTTCTCTCTCTCTCTCTCTTTTTTTTCAAAGAAAAGAGAACTGCAGACGCAGAGGGTAAGCTTTTTCATTTTTTAATATATTTGTACTTGTCCGGCCATCGGGCTCCTTTATATGACTCTGGAACTTTTAGCTGAATGGTCGACGCTCTTCTTCGGCTCAGAGCTCGGGTCTCACATTGTTTATTGTCGCTGAACCAATTCCTTTGTTTGACTTTGTACTTCCTGATAGTTCAGAGTACCTCCTGACATTAATGTGAATTGTGTCTGATCTCTCCCTATCTAGAGGCCGGGACCTGGAGATGGTTAATAATTTCCGGAATCTTAAACATCGTGCTGCTGCTGCTGCTGGTGGTGGTGGTCCTTTTCCTCTTCCTGCGGTCGAGGACACAGGACAGAATACAGGACGCACCTCATCAGGTAAACAAATAAGGTGCTGGGTTCAGACTAAGGGATATTTTTGTCTGTGATTATAGAGTCATTACATTTCAAACAATGGTTTGTGGTGCAAATTAACATCTACACATTGCAGCATCAAAGCCACTGGTTTCCTCAGGAAGACTCCTCTGTGTTGGATGAAACAACCAGGACTCAAGATACTCATCTGATGACACCGATAAAAATGCAGGTATATTGAAATTTTGTCAAAAACACATGGTTTGTGTTTAGGGTTGGACAAATGTATCGTCTAATTGTGATGATTGTCATTTTATTTTGCTGATGTCATCGTCTGCACCCGAGAATTAATTCAACTCATGAACGAACCTACAAACTGGCGCTTGTTATATATGTTATATTAAATTATATATATTCATTCAGTCCAACCTCACTCGCTCTCTTTTCCCTCTCTGAGTTTGCCGATTGGAAAATTTTTGTTTGTTGCCCAATCCTATAACGGTTCACCGTCGGGCCTGGCAGGAAAACTTCCAGGGTTCCGAGCGACAAAACACTAACTCAAGTGCTCATATGTATAGAGTATTCACACGTCTGTCTCTTATGTCTCTGTCTTTGTCCTAAAGCCTGACTGTCCCCTCCTCAGCTCAACCCCAGCTGATTCATCCGGGAATGGACACACGTCTGGAAACAGGTCACAGTGAGCACACAACTTTGTATCTTGTCGTTGTAAAAGAGCTGCGGGATGTGACACAGGACGGATCAGCTCCACGCAGGATGGAGGACTGAGTGACTGTGGTTTTTACAACTGCCTTTCATGGAGGGGAAACTCTGAGCCTCAAATGTCAAGGGTGATCGAGGGTGAAAAGGCTGCGGCGTGTCGGTTTACTAAAACTGCACAGCAACACATGCTACTGCGAAACGAAGTGACGACCTGTATTATAAACACCATGAAAACATTTTAACACAACCAAACTCACCACGTGTCAGTGTCAGCTGCAGTAACGCTGGCAGACAGATGTTTACAGCTGTTTGTTAGCGCCAACCATGGCAAAAGCAGCGCATTTAATATAATATGATGTGATATTCAACTACTGCTGGCACTAGTATCCACTGTCTAACCAGACTTACCGATTCCTCTGTAAGTCACAGTGTGGAGAGAGTTTATCAATCTGCACCGGACAGCACGGGAGTCAGCGCTCTCACTGTCGGGACGGTGGTCGTTGTGTCTGTCCTGCACGTCCTGTACTGTCCAGGTTTATAAGGAAAGATTTGCATGTAGACTGAACCACTGGTTGTAGTTTTTTGAATGCATGCACTGGTTTTTAACAAGCTATGCTAAGCTAGGTCAAGTGTAAATGTATGACACGGCATTAGACTTTCCGAGTTGTGGCTGGTCCTCACCACCTTCAGTGTCTGAACCCTGGACCACATCCGTCTGTCTTCTGGGAACCCATTCTGTCAGGTGTTAGCCGCTAGTTAGCCGTCTAGAGGTCTCTTGTCTATGTAACCAGGAAACACTCAAACTATTCCTGGTCTGTTTGAATTATTTAACTACCGTGATGCTTGTGTGTTTTGTAAAACTGTGAAAAAAATCCATGCATTGTATACATATATGGAATTTAATGTATTGTGCATTAAAAAGTTGCTGTAGCTTAATGTTTCATGTCAGTGTCACTTTGTTTTCTCCGCCATACACACGGTAGTTTTAAATTGTGCATATATACGACATTACTTAAAAAATAAGTATACTCTTCTTTGACTTTGCCTGTTTAGTGGTTATTAAAATCAGAAACAGTCAAATATTAAGCTTGGGAAGTGATAATAGATTTGTTCCTTCAGTTTAAGTTGGTCCGACTTTATTTGGGCAGTTGTGTTTACTCAGTCTAATCTAGTCAAATGTAAAATAATTCAGACTATCTCTGTGAACTATCTCTGATCCCATTATCTCTCCTCTGAATTTCGAATTAGCCTCTGGGGGCACTGGTTAATATTTTGAAGCTTCTAGTGCAGATGGTGGACATCCGGGACAATAAAAAAGTCTTAAGTTCACAGTCTGACGTGGTTCTTTATGTTGGCGAAAGTCTTGTTTTGAAATCAGTAAACCGTGTTGTGGGGCGGACAGATGCCGAGAGCAGCTGCAGCTATGATTCTCCGTCGGTCCAATACTACAACAGACCTAACACATCGTTTTGTTAGCAGCTATTTAAATTATACACTCATAATAAAATCTACAGATTATGAGCAACATGGAAACGATGACACGACTTTATAAACTATGGTAAAAAGTAACTTTTTAAAATGAAAGGATCTGGGTATATTTAGAAGATTCTGCATAGTATGTAAGTAAATATATGCTGTGCATACATGACAACTTTAAAATAAACTGTATACTGTATGTTAATAAGTTTTAAATTCTAAATTCTATGGTTAAAACAACTTCTATTGAAAGCACTTGATGTGTGGCAATTTTCAACAGATCTCATCGTGTGAGTGCCGAGGTCAAATAACAAAGAAGGTCGGTTTAATTCCCGCATTCTTTCACGGATGACAGCAATGAAAACAGAGAGTGTGGGTGGATTCCATCATCTACTCGAGGGCATAACAAAACATAACCACACCACTTTATGCCTCTGTGAAATCACATAACTTCACACTCAATCCAGCTGCATCACACAGATCTGCACGTATCTCTAAATAATCTCCTGACTATGTGAGAACACAAATGTGTGAGTGAGAGCCCCTGAAACATCTGGATAGTTCCCCAGTGAGCCCACGTGAGAAAACAGCAGGAAGTTCTGCAGCGGACTCACTGATTGTGTGTTGATGACGTTTCTAAAACGCAAAGACGATACAAATATCGGTGCCACGTGTGAAGATAATGACAAAGATGTCAGGAGAGCTCTGGTGGTAATGGCCCGTGATGTTGTGGATGTTATGTAAACAGAGACAGGCGAGTTCTGCAGAGGAATCTTTCCACCACAGGACGTATCACCACAAATCTTGGTGGAGGGATTAGGTTTGGGTCACAGAGGAACCCATTACATTTTTGTATCTGACGTCAGATCCAGGAATTTATTTTCTCGTTCTTCTTAATTGTGAGATTGAACGTTTATAGCCCAAATTCCCGAAACACATTTTGCCTCAGAGTGCTTTACAATCGGTACATCGAGGGAAACCATCTGTCCTTAGACCCTCGGTTCGAGTGAGAGAAACCTGCCCACAAAAAAAACCTTTTAACAAGAAGAAGGAGGAAGAAACCTTCCACACAAAAATCTGGTTGTAGTGCTGTGAGGGACCAAGCAGCGAGACGATGAGGAAGACAGATGAGGAGGACGGATGAGGAGGACAGGAGTGGTACATGAAAAACCTGGGTTTTTATTTACCCAAAGAAATACAGAACATTTTAAAACCAAAACTTTAACAACTAGGCCGAAAGAAGAAGGCAACAAAAGGTAACGATACTTAACATTACAACTGGAGACCGTGTTGACTGAACAAAACAAATCACAATGAGACATTAGGCCACATATACAGAGATTCAGCAAAACCACAAAACAAACAAGGGGTAAACAAGACTAACTACAATTTAATACATAGTCAAATAATGAAACCCCCCCCTGACAGAGCAGCACATGGTTGGGCCTGATGAGCTGGCTCCAGGATTTCAGAGACCTCTGCCCTCAGCCAGACCTCTTGCAAGCAGGAAGGAACCTCCCCCAACAACCACGGTAACTCAAAGACAAAGAAGCAAATGATTAACACAACAAGACGATTCCCTGTGTAACCCAACAGTGTCAGAGTGCACTTAGAATGTTCTTCATCTAGATGTAAGGTTAAAAGCAAAGAAACAGATTCCAAATAAACAAACTGATGTTAATTGTTTGGTGTGGCTGACTACAAATGACATGAACCTGTGTGTAGCAAGTTAATGAGGGCAGAGTTTGTGGATTTGGGATATTTTACCCTGTGCGGCCGCAACTAGTGAATTTAAATGTGCTTTCCTTGGCGGTCGTAGGAGCTCTACTGACTGATTCTAGATTGAGTGAAAGAAAAAGAGACAGTGCAAATGTCTGGACTGTATCTGGGACGTTTCTGTTCCTGACCTCACCGCTGAGGAATAAATTGTTCCACCACTTCAGAATTATTATTATTATTTATAACCTATGGTGCAGAGTGAAGCTAGAAAACTGTGTTCATCCAACCTGGTGTATTTACAGTGAAAGATTTTATAATCAATGATTTTCATGAGATTAATCTGAAAATGAATTTATCGCTGCTCACGCGTGTGGTTTATATGTGCGTGTTGTTATTTTTCATACATTACGTGTCGCCTGTTTCAGATGTTTATCGAACAATCGACGCAATTTTCACAACTTTTCGAAAATTCTGAAGATTCCAGTTCAGCTCTGCGCTTTTATTCTTGAAGGATTACGCACCGGAAATGTCGTCGTGGCTGCGTCGGATACGGAAGTGAAGGTTTAAGAGCAGCGAGCGGCGCGAGGGGAAAAAAGGTAAACAACTTTATTTACGTGTGTTTTCGACAAGTGAGAGAAACAACACACACCAGACACACACACACACACACACAGACACACACACACACACACACACACAGTGAACACAACATGCTGTTTAATCATTTCACACAGGAAACAAAGAGCGAAGCTAAAATGCTCGTTGGCACTGAAGCTAACGTGTGTGTGTGTGTGTGTGTGTGTGTGTGTGTGTGTCTGTCTGTCTGTCTGTCTGTCTGTCTGTCTGTCTGTCTGTGTCTGTCTGTCTGTCTGTCTGTCTGTCTGTCTGTCTGTCTGTCTGTGTCTGTCTGTTTTCCAGGTATTACAAAAAGTTAGTACTTGTTACGTTTTCATTTAGTTTTAGTTCATTCATATTTATTAAAGTTTAGATGAAGTCCATAGTAAATCAATGTAAATCAACACTCTGAAGTCAAAGTGTGTGTCTCTTAATAATGGGTCCCTGGACTCTTAAGATGGCGTCCAACAAACTGAGTGAAAATTGTTCCCATTAAAAAAAAAAAAAAAAGTGTTGGAATAAAAACATTGGAAAAAGTAAAAGTTTCTTATTTAAAAAAAAAACAGCAACTTAAACAAATCAACTTTGTGTATTTCTGTGAGAAGACATCCATCTGCTCCTTTTCTTTGTGTATCATGTTATACGTTAATCATGTGACGTGTGAGGTCACTGCAGCAGATAGCTGATCAGCGACCCCCCCCCCTCACAAACAAATCATCGATTGTTAAACGTCTTATTTTTAATGTTGGATCACTGGCTGTGTTTTGTCCGTAGCCATGGCGACCGACTCGTCTCTGCTCAACTCTGAGCTGCAGCTGCAGCAGCAGGAGGAGCTGCAGCAGCAGGAGGAGCTGTATCAGCAGCTGCTGTTACAGGTGAGCGTCAGTTTAACGCCCGACAACACAACTTCCTCCACAGAGACACCCGTCGTTCTCCGAGACGTTAACCACCAGAAGATCCAGGTCTACACCGTCAGTGGACAGACTTCAGCAGTGACACATTCGTAGCTTGTGAATTCAAGTTCTAGTTTGTAAAAAGTGGAATCTGTTATTTATTCTCTGAGAAGTTTCTCAGCCTGGCTCTAAAGGGAAAGTTTGGCTTTTTTAAAGAAATACTCTCATTTGTTGAACTATGTCAAGATACAGAACCGCACCTGAAATGTAAACTAGTTATTTTTTGATTAAATTGATAAGGTATCATTTGTCAATGAATGGCGTTGCTGCTAAGCTAACTGCCTTTAGCTCCATATTTACCGTAAAGACAACAATGGTGATGTCAATCTGCTCATCTCACTTTTAGCAACAAAGAAAATGAGTCCATCAATTTACTGGATTGATTAGTTTTATTGATTCGTTTACTTTACATTTCATTTAATGTACAGTAATTATTCCTGGGGCGTATCCTTTTGCCCGTACTCTTGCCATTTTGCAAATTGTACTGTTTCTTATTTGTGTTTTATTCGGTATCTTGTAATGCTTTGTTTATTTTCTGTACGTTGATCTCTACCCTGATGCACCCTGAGTTAAATAGTTTGGTTTAATGAATGAAAGTTCTAAAGATGTTACCTCACCAAAGCTTGGTGTTATTTTAAGCTTTGGTGAGGTAATGAACTAAAAGCTAATGCTGTTGTATCTTCCTTTAAAAACTTTCCCTGCAGAGGAAGGCGCATACACAGCTCTTGCTGTTTTTTAGTCTGCTCTCCAAATATTTTTAGACAGTGGTTCATCAACTTGTCAAGAGTCCCCTTAAATAACTTTATTTTATTTTTTTTCTCAGCTGCGTTCCAGTGCAGACGCAACGAAAATTGTGAAATGAATAAAATGGCAGCGTGCAAAAATCAAAAGCTTATTGTAGTAAAACCTGTTTTTTTCTCTTGTTTGTGTTGGTTTGTCTTAACCTCTTATCGTCACCTTTTGTTTCTGTCGTTATCTAGTTTGTCTTTTGGAGTAACTGAACATGTGTGAAACCTCTTGATGTGTCTGAATTTAACTGCTGGTCGTTTTTTTAGACGATGGGTCAAATGCAAACTGAAAATCCAGATTCCACAGTAATTAGACCTCAACCTGGTGAGTGTCTCCACAAGTTTTATCAGAACACACACACGCTCATGCAGGAAAGAGGACAATTGACTTCTCTCTCTCTCTCTCTCTCTCTTCTCCAGGCATGTGCGTGAAGACTGTCACAGAGCCAGACAAGCAGAAGGTCTTTGTTAACATCTGTCAGTCAAACTCAGTCCCGCCTCCCCCTGAACTCTCTAGAGAGGAGCTCGTGGAGCTGCTGCAATCAGAAGATCCCAGTGGCTACAGAGTTCCCATGAGCCTCGGCGAGCCGCACACAGAAGTAGATAACAGTATGTAACTGAAGCCAAAAGTAATATTATTTAATTGGCAGGAAACATCAGTGTTGGTTCAGACCCTTTTAGTTGTTGCTTTAGTGCTTTTAGAGCGTGGTGCAGGGTTTAATGTTTCACTGCAAAGTGGAATGATAATGATGATCGGTCGTTAAGTAACTTTAGCTTGAATGGATTAATCATTTGACGTCAGTGAAAGAGTAGCCATCAACTAGAAAACGTGAAAGCTGTTTTTCATCTCGCTGAGCTCAGTTACTCAAACTGACTCCCTGTATAAACTGAAAACGGTTTTGTTTGATGAGTCATGTAAAGATTCTCTTGCAATGAGTAATCTCTGTTATTCCAACTGTGTATTGACACGAACACACAGGCTTCTTCATGATTTGACAACTTTCTTTTCTTTTGAATGATTGATTGAAGCTTTTATTAAGTATATAGTAGTACAGTAACACATCACCTGAGCCTACAACTCACATAAATGTAAACTGGTGCATGAAATAAATCTTAAGGGTAGATGACATGAGGGTTTAAATGTGTTTTAATACTTAAAATCACACGTGATGTTACGGTCTCTGTCTTTATCGCTTCTAACGTCTTCAATTGATGTCAACAGCAAGCATCTGCATTTGTAGAGGACTTCAGAATCTATCTTGTCGCTACTTTAATTCACGAGTCTGGCTTTGATTTCACCCTCACAACTGAAAAATGAATGACAAAGCAAAATGGAGAAAATAAGATCTCTCTCTCTCTCTCTCTCTCTCTCTCTCTCTCTCTCTCTCTCTCTCTCTCTGTCAGACTCTCAGGGTTGCACAGCTTACGACGTGGTCATCAACCAGGAGTTTTTCCAGATGTGTCAGGTGTGTGTGTGTGTGTGTGTGTGTGTGACCCTTTTGTGATCTATTTTAATCATATGAAAAAGTGTATGTTGGTATTTGGGAAAAGAGGAAAGCACTTACCTCCGACAAGGTGGAAACACATCCTGGTACCATTACTCTGTTTTGATACATGTACTATTAGAGATGTGTCAAAACTGCTTGTACTCAACTGAATCCTCATTATCAGAGCTACACAAAATCCAGAACATGGATATTAAATCAGAATCTAGATCATATTCACACTTTTGCAATAGAGAGTTCTGCATTATTTCTTGAGAAACTCAAAAAAAAATACCTTTAAAAAAAAATCCTAAATTTGATGTGTTCTTTCTTCCTGTACTTCCCATACCCCCCCCACCCCTCCACCGAGTTTTAAAACCGGTCCAGTGGTTTCTGTGTAACTGTGTCTGGAATCAAACAGAAGAAAAACACAACAAATCCTCTGTGGAAGTAACAGAATGAAAAATATAACGTAGCTGTGTGTGTGTTTGTCTTGTAGAAGGATCCTTTGTTCCAGCAGTTTGTTATTCTGGTGTCTTTGGAGGGTCTGGAGAACAAATACAACCTCGAGCTGAGCAGAGGTAAGTTTGATGAATCGAGACACAGCCACAGATCAGAATCAGAAGTACTTTATTAATCCTCGTAGGGAAATTCAAATGTTACAGAGCCGCTGAGAAAGAGGTGAAAGAGCAAAAGCAGGTATAAACATATCAATATAAAAAGCAAGTAAGGCTAAAAGAAATAAAAAGATATACATATGTAGAAATAAAGACCGGGCATGTAAAGATTTACATTTGTGCATGAGTAAAGTAAGTTAAAGTATACACAGTACACAGTATTAATCTTTATACTTTACAGGTTGTCATTGTACAGTTTGACAGCCACAGACAGGAATGACTTCCTGTGGCGTTCTGTCGAGCAGCGTGGGCGGATGAGTCTGTCACTGAACGAGCTGCGGAGGCTCATTAAGACATGATGGAGAGGGGTGTGGCGGAAAGTCCAATGTTGTCCTTACTTTGGACAAAGTTCTCCTCTCCATCACCACTGTGACACTGTGTCCCCCCCACAACAACAACGCTGCTGGATCAATGTTATGTAACCTGTCTCGTCTAATGAAAGGCAGCTGTTGACTCTGCTTCTCGTCTCTCTGCAGAATGGAAGGTGTTGAAGAACAGGAAGTTTTTGGGATCTGTCGGTGAGCAGAACATCCGCAAAACCAGCAAACCGGTGATTCAGGAGCTGCCGCCTCAGTACGTGTGAACGCAAACCATGTTTTGAAAGAAACTTTGTGCTGAGACAAATTCCCCTTTTTGTCTCCCTGCATGAATCTGACTGTTGGGAGCTTTGTTGCGTAGGATCGTCTTCTGTTGTTGCGGCTCTGGGGTGTGTCTGAGACTTAGGGTGCGGTGTGTAAGATGTAGGTGAAAGGGAACTATTGGCAGATATTTAATGTAGAATAATCCTCATGATGTTTTCACTAGTTCATTTCTTCTAAACTGTATGAATTGTAGTTTTCTCTTACCCCAGAAAAGACCCCTTTTGAGTTTTCATGACAACTGAAGGTACCACAGGTTCTTTTTCATGTTGGGGAGGAGAGGGGGAGGAGAGGGGGAGGTGAGGGGCGTTCAGCTGCAACATTTTCAACACAGGATATCACTGAACTCTACACACTGAACCTTTAAGGATATCAGTATTCTTCTCATCAGTGTTTTCGTTCGGTCTGGAATGTGTTTGACTGAACATTTTCTCAGTTGTTTTCTTTAAAATCTCTCCGTTCTTACAGAGGAAGCTCCACTTCCGCGGCCAAAAGGTACGTCTGTGCTGCTGCGTGATTTTTATGTCAAGTCATAGTTCATCGGCTCACACTTTTTTCTTCTTTCCTCCCATTAAGCATCTGTTCATTCCCTTTCCTGCTTTCTTCTTTTGCTCATCCGTTGTTCATGTTTGTTCTTGTCTCTGTCCCCACCCCCCACCCCCGCCGCCTCCTCATCGTCCATTTCTTACTTCTTTCTTCAGACCAGAGTTCACTTTGCTTGTGGAGCCCCCTGCTGGTGAACCCGAGTATCTCATTGCTGAAATAAAGCTACCGGGGGTGGTGAGATATGCAGAACACAACACACACACACACACACACACACACGTATACACACACAAACCAACAATACATATTGTGTGCAGCAATATTTCTGGATGTTTACATTTCAGAGCTCCACAGTTTGGGAGATATTTAAGGATTTTGATTGTTTTAACACATTTATCACACTTTCTTATATCATAAGAAATACATGCATATATTTTTAATTCTGTGTCACACTAAACACGCCAACACAACCCTAATTTACAAATGTACATCTTCCTCCAGTTTTACAGCTGGAACAACGGTGTGGAGGAAAAAAAAAAATTGGAGTAAAAATCCAAATAAATATCAAATGGTTGTAAACATTCAGAACTTTCTGAAAATTGACTCGATCAATAGATTTATATATTTCAGATAATTTTGGTGTAAAGTTTCATAGTCACCAAGGCTCAATGCTGAATAATCACTGGTCCAAAGCTGGACACGCACACCTCTCGGCAGTGCTCGACCTTCAGGAGGAAGCAGAGAGCGTCTTTTTGTGAAACTACATCTGCACTGTTTGTCACCTGTGCAGCCATCGTGTCGCTCTCTGGTTCTGGACGTGGGAGAAGATCGACTGGTGTTGACGGCCCGGCCCTCGCTCTTCCATCTGGACATCTTCCACCCCTTCCTCGTCGACCAGGAGAACAGTGTCTCACAGTACAACAAGAAAACCCAGGTACGAAAGACATTTACTGAGAAAACACACACACACACACACACGATGGGCTGCAACACTTGTATGATACAGCACGTGTTTTGTTTTCCTCAGATTCTGACCGTCACTATGCCTGTGGTGTCATCATGAAACGGAAGAACTGATGTCAAGTTATTTATTTATGTTGTGTTTAAAAATGATGAAATAAAAGAGACGTTTAAAAAAAATCGAATCCCTCCGTTTTATTCGATTCGTGACTTTGATCCACATCAACCAGATCACAGACGTTTCCTCTGGTGCGGATTCAGACTCATGACAACTTAGAACATGGCTTCGATTGGTAAAACACAACTTCATTAAGTCTGTTCAAATCAAAGTTAACAAATTATATCAACTCAAGTGATGACTCTAAAATCTTTTGTGTGTCACTAATTGAAGTATTTTTCAACGCTTGTGAACAGTTTTCTTTTTTCAGTCAGGTCAGGATATACTCCACACGTCTGAAACTGATTACTGCTTATTCTGAGTATTCAGGTAAAATCAGAAAATACAGTTTACATGACAGCGTCTTATTAAAACACCGTCTTAATCTGGTTCATGTCTGTGTCCATGTTTCTGTCCACAGGTTCTATAGAGTCACAACTAAAACCTTGGGAACAGTAGTTTGACCAACGAGTTTTAAAGGCCCTAAGATGAGTTATTGGTTCTCTGAGCCGCAGCAGAGGAAACTAAGACAGAAGTATCAGAGTCTCTTATCACTGTGGTGAAATACATCAGAAGCTGAACTAGTTCTGTTCCTGAGCCTCTGGAACTTTTTCTGTGAACTTGGAAATCTCTCCTTTCATGGAAAAAGCAAACGAGTGAAGCGTTCACTTCTCTATTTCTGGATCTGAGGCTGCTCTCTCGTTTCTCCCTATTGGCCATTGTGTCGAGAAGTGGGAGTGTCCAGAGGTAAAAATGGCATAAATATTTCCAACAAGGTATGTGGACCAATTGGCTGTTTTCCAATCGACCGGCGTGTCCGAAACACACACGGGCCACGAAACGAGAACACGTTGAGAGAAGTGGAAACTCACTCTCAGAAACAATCATCGTTAATTAGAATCTTCACCTTATTAAAGCTAATTAAACGTGTGCTGTATGTTTTTTTTTTTTTAACAATTAAGCAGTAATTCAAATGAAGGTTAGTCCAGCGACCATGTGTGATGACTTGTCTCTCACATGTGAAGCTGTCCTCGGCTCAGCCGGTTATTTTTAGTGTCTTTCACCTCATTGCTTTGGTTTAAAGGACCTCAGCTCACCTGTTGTGGTTCAGAGACCAGCAGCTGTTTCCTGGTTCCCCCTCAACGTGCATCGTTCCAACGAGAGCGCTATGACGCCGCCCACTTCGTTGTCGTGTCACACGTCCATTCGTCACACTGATCGCGTTCCCAATGAGTTTGCTTTCATCGTTACTGCTCGGACTCCAACTGTGCAAGATGGCAGCGTTTGTACCGGGGGTATTTGGGCTTCATTTCTGGAGACGCGTCGTCCATCTTTATACAAGTGGCCGCTCCTTCTCTCCCCCCCCCC